TCTCTCTGAGTGGCTGCAGGGTGTTTTGTTTGTTCCTGGGTGTCTGGTTACCCAGCATGCCCTGCTCTGTGTTGCCTGGTCACGTCTCTCATCGGCTCTCCTTATTGTTTACCTTCCTAATGAGGGGGGCGGGACTCTGAGACATGTGATTGACAGCAGAGTGCTTGCCCCCCTATAAACCCCTCCACACACACACACACACACACACACACACACACACACACACACACACACACACACACACTCACACTCACTCACTCACTCACTCACTCACTCACACACACACACACACACACACACACACACACACACACACACACACACACACACACACACACACACACACACACACACACACACACACACACACCCTTCGCCACACACACAGACGCACACACACCCTTCACACACACACACACACACACACACACACACACACACACACACACACACACACACACACACACACACCCTTCGACCGGGACTTTGGCTTTCTGGCTGAGATGTGCTCTGAAGGAGAAGGAGGGCCGGATTAAGAGGAAATACTTTTTTTACATACCTCTCTCTTGGTGTTTTTGTGGGACGTTTTTTTTTTTTGTAACCCTCCTCTTGTGGGCCGGGCTAGCAGAAAGAGAGGATTGTGGGAAAGTGTGTGCAGTTATGGCGGATATGGATACACACACATTCCTGTCTCACAATGATGACTCGTTAGCTTCTCTTTGACACAATTTGATTTCATTTCAAAGTGACTTCAAAGAAAAGGAAGCACTCTTCAGATCCTGGCAGTACATATTTGGCAGTTATTATGGAGTATTTGTCGACTCCCCCACAAAGAGGGAGAGAGTACATTTGCTTTCTTGAGAAAAGAGAAAAGACCAAAGGAGGGAAAGAGAGAGAAAGGAGTGCAGAGAGACAAATATTGGGACTGTGTTCATTTCGCTCTGTGGTCGACTTCGACTTCAAAGAGACGAGCGGCCAATGAAGAGAGAGCAGACCTTTCAGGACAAACACACTGCACCCAGCGTGACTCACACACACACACACACACACACACACACACACACACACGCACAGTCTGACTGCTGCAATTTGACTCAATGAGAGGGGGGGATATTTATTTTTAATAAAGCCACACTTATTTTGGGAGTGACATTTTACAACTCTCCTTTTATTCTGGAATCAATAGCTGGTTAAATATTGATAGAGGGGGGAAGCCTCGCACGTTTCGGCTGTTTGATTTCTCTCTGGGATGGAGAGGATTGCTTTTTCCTTTTTTTAGCATAAAAGGAAAGAGGGGATGTTGAGGGGCGACGTTCTCACGCTGAGGAGGAGCTCTCCTTCAGCTGTTGGAGATGTCTCTGAGTCTGAACGTGACTCGGATTGATTTAAAATGATGCATTTTGTTGCCTTTAATTTGTGTAAATGTTGTTGTTTAAATCGTTTCATTCTTTAAGCTCTGATCAGTGGTAGGGGTGAGTTTTGGGGTGAGGGGGGCGGGGGGGGGTGCTGCCCCGGTGAATGTGGAGCCAAGGGCGCCAGGCGGATATTTGAGCCCCGGGGGAGAGAGAGCTCTCCTGTGGGCCTCCCCCCCCCCCTCCAGGGAGAGGCTGAGGGATTTGGATCGGGGTCCCACCTGCACCCTGTGGGGCCCCTTCCTGTCCTGGAGAACCGAGTCAGGGGGCTCACCTGTTTGTTTGTTTGTTTGTTTGTTTGTTTGTTTGTTTGTTCAGAGGAACAGACTGGGCGTATTTATTTACATGTTTCTCTGGAAGATTTCTGAAGACTCAAAGAAACAATTTAGAATTAGCAAAACCCGAAACTGAATTTTCACTCAATCTTTATCAGAGATCATTTCACTAGATAAGTAAAAGAATAGACCCAAAACTTTTGAATAAATACAAATGTTTGAAAGGATATCACTGGATTGAATTATTATCAAGACTTAATACAAGCAGCATGTTCCTGAGGGACTCTTCATATATCTGTGTGTTCACCATGCGGCAGATTAACATGACAATATCCTTCAAGTGTGTTTGCTCGGGTCAACATGTCGTAACTGTGCACACACACACACACACACACACACACACACACACACACACACACACACACACACACACACACACACACACACACACACACACACACACAACCTGATGGAGTGTGTTTACATGGAGCTGGTCATCTCCACACAGTCCAATAGGAAGATGGACGTTCTGAGTGTAGTCCTTCAGAGTTTTGATGAATAGCTGAAACACGTGAAGCAGATGTTTCACGTTCATCTCAAAGTGTCCGGAAGCATCCGTCCCAAACCTCACGTCATCCATGTCTGAAGGAGTGTTCTCTGGTGTTGTTGCAGACTGGCAGAAGACGGAGGCGCAGAAGAGGCGAGAGCAGCTGCTGCTGGACGAGCTGGTCATCCTGGTCAACAAACGGGACGCGCTGGTGCGGGACCTGGACGCCCAGGAGAAACAGTAAGTTACCCACAATCCTCAGCACTGCACACAGAACAGTCTAAAATACGAATATCCAACTTTCTTTGGCGAGTGTCCTGGAGAGCATTGACGAAGTGAAAACACGGTGCGGAAGGATAGCACACCTGTATGGGCGGGGTCCAGTGTGTCTATATTTGTGTGTGTGTGCAATCCACCTGCTCCTCCTCCCCGATTCCCCTACGCCCCACATCTAACCTTTTGACCTTTGCCCTCCGCAGGGCCGAGGAGGAGGACGAGCACCTGGAGAGAACGCTGGAGCAGAACAAAGGAAAGATGGCCAAGAAAGAGGAGAAGTGTGTGCTTCAATGATTGTCCTTTCTGAAAGAAACACAACCGATAAATGTAGCCGATAAAAGAAATGTATCGTGATTATAATGATGAATAATAATATTATTGGATAGTGGCTTTCCTAGATATTTCTATCAGTTATTGGACGTGGTTGTTGTTTTGTTATTCGCAGAGAGCGACCCTGCGATGCCTTTGCACCAACTTTATACTGACTCCCACTTATATATATATATACACCACGTTTTTCCTTTTGATTCTCCTTTTCTTTACCGAGAGGTACTTGTTTGTAACATATGTGAGAGGAGCCCTGTGTATTCGCATGTTCAAGCACAGCCTTGAATGTGGAGCAGTTTGAGGTACAGCACAACAGGGTTTCACGTGGGGAATTATCTTTTGTTTTCAACGTGTTGGACTTTTAAAAAGGAAAAAAAAAATATCAGTCTTTTTCAAGCTACTTCATTACTTGACTGTATCTTTTTATCATTTCATTTTAGAGTTTTTACTTGTAAAATATCTTCAGAAATCATGCATTAACTTTCCTATTGCTTTTATTTTTATTGTCTTGGCTTGAAAGCAGTTTACCAAAAGAGAGATCATGTTTAAAAAATAAAAATAAAAAAAATATCATGTTGTATATTTTTCATCACCGCTCTGACCAATAGCATCCGACACGTTTCGTCTGGATTCATGCAGGCATAAACAAAAAAAGATATATATTATTTATTGCCGTTTTGTCATTGTGAGCTGCTTGTAAGTGGATCTACCATCACGTTTCATGTGCATTTTGATCAACAACTTTTTTTTGGTTTGTATTTATTGTATTCTGAAGAAGAGAGATATGCTCCACGTGCATCACTTAGAGCTCCATCTGGTGCACGTGTCCAACTGTTATCTGTTTATTTATTCCAGTGTCATAACCCAAGTCTTCAATAATAAAGTCCTTATGATTTCATACTCCACAGACGTGTGTGGTGCATTTATTCCTGCAGGTTTTTTAAAGTTACAAGCATTTGGACACCGTTTGATAATTGTTTTGTTAATATTTGTAACACTTTTTGGGGGATTTAACGACTGTTTTCTTATTGTAAAATTGCTCACACACTTCTAAAACTCACTTTTCCTTTTTACCTCCACATAATCCAAATATACTCCTGATTTTTCCTCGTTCTTCCCAAAAACGTATTGAAATGCACGCACTGAAGTGGCCCTCACTGCCTCCTCCAGCGAGCTGCGTGCTTATTATTCTGCTCTGTTCAATTCCCCTGCGACCTGTGCGTGTTTATAAATTAAAATTGGCGTTTGGGTTTTTGTTTGAGGTCGGTGCTGAGCAAGTTCCTCCGAGGAAGATTAGAGGAATCACTTTGTACCGAGCAGATC